TATAGAGATCTTTTTAGATGACTTTTGTGCATTCAGTACCAAAAAAGATCAACTTAATTGTCTAGAAAAATGTTTGGCTCAGTACGTTAAGTTTGAGATATCATTGAACTCGGATAAGTATCAATTCGGTGTTTTGTTAGGAAAATTATTGAGACATATCATCTCTTGCCATGGTATTACTACGGATCCTAACAAAGTGAAGCATATCATGAACTTGCTCAGACCAGAGATGATCTCCTCAATACACAATTATTTGTGGTGGATGTGATTTCCTCCGAGTATAGTGAAATCATTCAGTTTTTGACCTTCCATACGTTTCCGTCGACTTTCACTGATAAGCTTAAAAAGTGACTCATTCTGAAGAGTGCCCCATACACAATGATTCGTGATGCTTTGTATAAACAAGGCAAAGATGGCATTTTATGACGCTGTATCTTTTCAAATGAAGTACAGTTGATCCTAGAGGGTTGCCATTTGGATAGTTGTGGTGGTCATTTTGCGGAAGATAGTAGTGCTTGCAAGGCTTTAATGGCCGGATATTGGTGGCCCACAATGTTTTCTGATGCACACTAATTTGTTTGTCATTGTGATCCCTATCAACGAATTGGTCGACCCATGGGTACTTCAACCATGCCATTAGTTCCAATCTTGGCACAGACACCATTTAAAAAATGGGGTATTGATTTTGTTGATCCTATCGCACCAACGTCCAAATCTGGCAAAAAGTGGTATATTTTAGTCGCCACGAACTATATAACCAAATGGGCGAGGCTATTGCTACCCACAACAATAATTCCAATATGGTGGCTATTTTTCTATACAAGAATATTATAACTCGATGGATATCCAAAAAAATTAGTTAGCGATTGCGGCACCCATTTCCTCAATGCTACCATAGCAGCCTTGACAAATACATATGAGATCTAGCATCGAAAAATCACTCCATATCATCCTCGCACTAATGGACAAACAGAAAAAATCAATGGAATTTTGTACAAGGTCTTGACTAAGACAATTTTGGGGGCGGGTACTGATTGGGAGACCAAACTCTTTGTGGCTTTGTAGGCATATCGTACTACATATAAAGTAATTACCAACTCTACTCTATTTCAACTAGTTTACGATCAAGAAGCAATTTTATCCATCGAGTTGGAGGTTCAAAGTTTATGGATTACCTTGGATGAATGACTCAGAGATAAAGCCTCATTACATTCTCGATTGGCGAAATTAGAGGAATTTGATGAGATATGGGCTATAGCTCTTTTCAATATAGAAGCGATTCAAAAACGGATGAAGAGTTACTATGATAGTAAACTGCGTCCAAAGAGTTTTATACCTAATGATTTGGTCTTGCTGTATGATAGCCGATTTAATCATTTTTTGGGCAAATTTCAAGTTCGTTGGCATGGGTCGTATCGAGTGGTTGAGGATTTTTCCAATGGATCTGTTCAATTGGAAGATTTCATGGGCCATCGATTCAGTACCCACATTAATGGGAATCGATTACAGTTATATAATACATAAAACCCGGGACGGTTTTTTCATTTTTTTGGAAGAGGTGACTTTGAATGGACACATGGTAGACCTAATTATGGTATAAGTACGTTAAAGTGTAGATGCGGTAGAAAGGATAATTAGTAGTTATTAATGTGTCAGATGGGACGGAGGTGAGAAATGGACAATATGGGTAACATGTTGTCATGATCACTGGTAGTAAGAGAATAGGAGTGGTGCACCAGTTTGAGGTCATTCTGTATTGTCATTTTTGGTTCTTTTTCTGTGATTGCCATTTCTTGTGTTCCTTACATTTTCGAGAGTAATAGTTCCAGTTAAGTACTTGACAGAGGGAGCGTCATGGTAATTGAAAGTGTAATGCAAGCTATAGACAAAGAGGACAGTGGCCAAAATGTGAAAGCTAAACGCGCATCAAAACCACCTTCTGTGGTAATCGTTACCAATATAGAACCGATGAAGTTAGATATCTACTGGATGCCGAGAAGAATAAGAGACTTTCGAAATGTGCAGTTAGACCAGACAAAATAATAATTTTATAGAGTTCGATTAAGTAGTTTTTAAGAAGATAACAATTGTGTTTTGCAAGGACGCTGTACAGATAGGAGCAGGACTATGTAGAATAGATATTAGTTCGTTTTTGTAAGATATTGGTAAAATAGACTAATAGTCCATAGAATATTTAGTTCAGGAGGATAGATGGTTAACTTAATTATTAAAAGTGGTTAATTACAAGATTACGATTAGAATCTGGTAACTAATATATACTAATTACAGGATTACGATAATTACAGTTCCAGAAGACGAAGTTTGATTATGTGTTCTTCAAGCTCGTCATGATTTTTTAGCAGCAAGATATTTTGGATATAATAAAACTTTGGAACCAATATCCTGGGATTTTTGGTGGCCCTAAATGTGGAAGGCAGTCAAAGATTTTGTATAACCTTATGATGTTTGTTTAAGATCAAAAACTCCTCATCATCGATCTTACGGACTTCTTCAGCCATTATCCATTCCAGAACAACCATGGGCTTCTGTTTTCATGGATGTTAATCAAGTTTTGAAGTAATTTTTAAGACATATCATCAACTACCAACAAGATGATTGAACAACTCTTTTGCCATTGGCAGAGTTTGCTTACAATAACATGGTACATTCTTCTACAAAACAAACACCTTTCTTTGCCAATTATGGTTATCATGGATGACTTGATACTTTTGACTTTTCAAATACTGATAATCCTATGGCGAAAGATTCAGCAAATCATTTGTTAGAGCTACATGCAATAAAGAAGGCACAGTTAAAAGAAGCTCAAGAACAACAAAAGATCAATGCGGATGTCTATCGAAAGGAATAACCACCATTCCATGTAGGTGAAAAGGTATGGTTACTTTGTTGCAATATCAAGACCACTCATCCTTGTGATAAGTTGGACTATAGAAGGCTTGGACCATTTTCTATTTCTATACAAATCAATCTAGTTGCATATCGTTTATACCTATCGGAGTCAATAAAAATCCATCCAGTATTTCATGTATCTCTTCTTGAACCATACAAGATAGTGAACATACCAAGAAGAAGACAAGTTCCACTTCTTGCTATAGAAGTAGACAATAATGAAGAGTTCAAAGTGAAAGACATCCTAGATTCAAGGCGGCACCAAAATAATGTCTCAGACATATATTTACTGTAATTATTACTTATGTAATATGAATAGATAAAAGTAGATAAAAATAGATTAATTTCATAATATCTTCTAGAGAAGCTTCCTAGAAGCTGCTTTGATTTTATATGTATTTATACTTGATTGATATGTTAGAAACTTGGTCAATAAGTTAACCATGTGCCACACATGTTGGTAGCTTGCAGAACAAGCTAACTATGTGGCACCCACATAGAAAACTTGCCTTGCAAGTTAAGATACATGTTGTGCAAAGTCAACATGTTTTTGGAGGTCCTATAGAACATCACTATGTAGCTCTTAGATAGATAGTATATATAGAGGCAAGAATGAAGCCTTCTTCACTCTTGTCACCTCCTTTCTTGCTTCTAATCTAATTTCAAGGGTCTCTAGTTTTCTTGTCTTTTGGCAATAGCCATTCCAGTTTCTTTCTTAATATACATATTTAGTTATTTCTATTTTTTCATCTTTCTTTGACAAAAGTCTCACTTGTTTATTTGTTTTTATCAAGTTCTTGTCCTTGACATTAAGATGTTCTTGTCCTTGACATTAACATGTTCTTTATTTCTTTTCAAAAAAATATAATTCTTCTACTATTTATTAAGTGACAAATTTTCTCTCAAGAAATATTTCTTTTTGTTAAAAAATTGAATTTTTGTTCCTTTACATTCTAATTTGTAAATCTTTTTTTTTTTTTTTTTTTTTTTTGACAATTCTTTGATATAATAATTTTCTTTTCTTTTTTTTTGGTTTTTTTTACACTTGATGTTCTTATAATATGATTTTATTTTTCTTTTTTACTTAGATTTGATAGACAAAGAAGGTGAATCTACAAACATAATATTATCAAACTTTGGTACTATAAAAGAACTTAAAAATGGTCTTATATTACAAAAACTCAACATCATGACTCTTAATGATCTCCTTTTTGTTCAAATCTATTATTTAGCAAAGAAGGCGCGCACTAGAAGAATCAGCAATGCTTAATGCTATTTCTCTTCAAATCCAAAGCTATGTTATCTTTGAAAACAACAACTTTATTAACAGTATTGAAGAAATAAAGGACGCAACTTAATGCCACAAATGCAAAGACCAAACACTTCTAGCTCATCTGCAGTATTTTCTCGCCGTATCAGATCTAACAAAGCCATGCAGCAATGCTCACAAAACAGCATTTAAAACTGCGCAGCAGTGAAGAGTTGTGAGACCATCCCACCATCGACAGAAGGAAGCAGTGAGGCTTTGTTCACCAACACAGATGAAGAGCCAGAGCAAGAGCACAAATAGTCGGCGAGCAGAGGGCGAGTGCACCTCGACGGCAGGTGAGATTCTAGACCAGGCACTTTTCTCCAACTATCGGAACTGGGGGTGAGATTTCCAACCCCTTTCGAAGCAGCCTCAGTCGGTGCGGTTTGGAACCAGGACACTGGACGAAGTCGGCTGGATCTGATTCTAGCTGTGGGTGATATCGATACTTACACCGCCTTTTCAACGTGTACTTGCACCAGAACTAGATGTTTAGGAGTCTTTTTCGAAATGGGCAGATTGATTTAAGTTTCTCATCATGGGTCCGAGCGTTGCGCTGTCTATTGTCTCAGATCCTCAATTTTGCCGCTGACAGAGTACTGGAGTTTGTGAGTGAAGAGGGGATCCCTGACATTCAATCCAAATGACGTTGCACATCGGTTACGTCCAAATTCATCAGAAGTCTGTCGAAAACTTGGCATTAAGTGTACAATTCTGCGCATCATAGTCAACAACCTAGTAACACTTGTGTTCAATATTATCAGAGTAATTGAAAGTGAAGTTTGTCGAACACCACTGCAGTTGCAGAAGTTTTAAATTCAAGTGGCAGTCAAGCACATGCTGCACACGAGCAGCCTTTAATGCCCCTGTACCAGATGGCGTAATTGTAATGAGCTTGATTTGTTCCTACCACTCCATCGACCTCGTCCCAGCTCTGAGCAAAACCCCGGTCGATGTCCATTCAGTGTTCTCAAAGTATACTTTTGCCGATGCTTCACGAGCAATGAATCCATTTCACTTTGCAGGTAGTGCTAGCTAGACGTCTGCCATCTGCACGAGGATTTTGTTGCTAGGTATTATGTAGATCTAGGCCGAGCAGGAAAGGGTGCACACTGGAAATTCATGCTCGCAAGTCATTAAGATTTTATTTTGTTCTAACGAGAATTAGTGACTTTATCCTGAAAATTCTTTTGAATTCCGATGTGATTGCAAAAGATCTTACATCCGCGCTTCTTTTCTGCTAATTTCGTCGTGGGTGGAGCTGGATTGGTGATTAGAGCTCTGGGTTGTAGACTATAGTAGTCTGCGGAAGCCAATATGCGCCTGCAATCAAACTATTGACTGTAAACTGATTTGCAACTGACGGGGCTTCAATTTGAGTCGACCATGAAACACGGCGATCGGTACAGGAGCCAGATCCCGTGCTTTTTTACTCTCCATAGAAGACGGTGTTTAAGAACAAGGCGCCGTTCCAAGGTAGCCATCCCTCGGGGTTTATGCCGTTCGTCAGAGTGGACATCAAAAACACAGTTCTGGAGAACTCATTCCATGGTCGGCCGAGGTAGCAGTTGACGGTCTGGTTCTGGAGATTTTTGAGTTCGGAAGCCGCATCCACCACGCAGTTCTGGAACGATAAGCCCGTGTTTTTGGGAGCTGGTGGTCCTACCTTGGGCTGTGAAGGTGTTTTGTTGCTCAGGGAGTGGTGCACAAGCCAATAGAGTGCAGGACTGAAAGACGGCGGCAGCATTGCCGAAAATGAAATCCACTGTGCCGAAGATCCTGCAGCCCTTATAAAATTGCCGGTTGCTGTGAGTGTAGAGTGTGTCTTGGTACCCCTCGAAAGAACATCGCCAGAATGCGCACTTATCGCTCTGGACCTTGAGCGCCACCGCACCGTGAAATCACGGCCTATGAAATGTTCCCCTAGCACAGCTACACATAATACCTCAACACTGAACGTTTCAAAACTCTCTGGCTATACCGCTTGAGGCTTCATTGCACAGAATAATTTCATAAGTTGATAGAAAAAACTAAATGGTGATGAGCTTACCCATCGTGGCAGTAGCAAATGTTGTGACATAGTATCCGACGACACTCTGGTCAACCCCATCGCCCAAAATGACAAGGTTCTTCACCGATTTCGGCACCTCCACATACTCGTTATAAACACCAGCCTTGATACGGATCACCCACTGCATTGCGATGTCCTTCGGCGCCGCGTCAATAGTTTCTTGGATGATGTGATACTCCCCATACCCATCCTTCGCAACTACAGCGTTCACGATGGTAATGTCATTCGTGTTTCTTGATTGCAAGAGTTTCCGGTCCTTGAGCCGTATCCACTCCGGGAAATTGTCATAATTACTCAACTCATATATTGGACCTTCCTCAGCCCTCAGAACTCAACGATTATGGCCGGGGTTTGGTCCAATTCTGCTAAGAGAAGCTACAAGAGAAACAGCGTTGGAGAGCAACGACGTGACGCTGGCACCTCTGGCCATCACGGCGTCTCTCATCGTATTACCGACTATGCCATCGTTCATACCATCCAAACACGTCGTGTGATAAGTTAGCGCAGTGCTCAACCATGTCCAAGAATCCGTAATCTGCTCTTTGAACCGCCATGGATTCAGCGTCGCCATGTTCGAGAGTGAGAGCTGGAGAGGATCCTGAGAACCTTGCTGAAAAGATCGACATGTCGAGAGTGCAGACTTCTCTCCAGGTCCATTGCTGGTAGTCAAGCCCCTGGTGAAAGTGTAGAAGCTTCCAACCCCCTCGAGACCATTAGTAATGGCTATGGTTGCAAGTCCCCGGGGAACAGACGCTGCCGCATCGGGATGCGCGGCGAGAGACGTCACACATGACGCACGGTCATGCGCCGCAGCGCACATCCACTCCACCATCTCAGGTATTGCTTGCGCAACAACAGATCCCATCACTCCAGCCTCCATAACAAAAATTAGCGTTGCCATCTGTAGCCACGATGTCCTAACAAACACAAAACTACTAGGACCTTCATGTCTCGCAGTCCTTTGAAACAGCATCCTCAACTCGACCAAGCTCTGTAAACCAGTACTCGTTCTCACAGCTTATGATCACCAACTGCACTTCAACGAGCCATGACAAGCTTCTACCATGATGATCCGAGGGAGAGCAGCTAGAAAATCAGCGTGACCATCCACAGTCCATGGACAGCAACAAGCTCACGAGAAGAATGTCAATACGGCAATACTCCTGGTTGTGATCCAGCAGTATGATATCTGCCAGTAGCAGCTCAAATAACTCGGATCAGCGGCGCCCACAACAACGTGCAAAGCGGAGCGAGACAGGTGAGGAGATGTACCTGATCTCCTTCCTTCCTTCCTGTTGAAATCTCCGATGTCAGTGTGAAAATTATGTGCGGAATGGTGGCGGCCGATAGCAAATCTGGGTGTCCCTCACCCCCCCCCCCCTTTGAGCCCACCGCTCAGCACTGCACCGTCCTTTTTACTGCTATTACCAAACCTGATTTCTCTCATATTGCTACTTCTACAGTCTTTTATTTGTATGTATATTTTATTTAATTATTTAGTGACGCAACAAAGGTGAATTGTGTGCAAGGTCTGTAAGGCATGGTTGTGATTTTATGGCTGAGATATGAATCATCAATGTTTTTAGTACTATTTCATAAATTTGGATGTATAAAGTTATTTTTGTAACTTAAGTCATTTCAAACAACCCACACTTGTTTTTCATCTTCCTTCCATGCATAGTGTCTTTCTTCTTGTAGAGAAGAGTTACAACCTTTACTTCACTACAACTATTATCTAAAATTTACTATATCTTTAGAAACTTTCAACTTTAGGATTATAAGAATGGAGGTTTTAAAGTTGCAAGACTATTCCCATAATTGTAAGTGGCATTTATTATTTGATGTATATAACACTGAGTCACTTTGGGATAGTGTGTATTTTACTTGATGGTTGATCTAATAGTTAGTTTGTAGGTACATGTCATGAAGTTGCCTTTGACTTTAAGTAATATTGTCCTATTATATGTGTGTATATATCTATAGTTGTGAGATATCTAATTAATTTAATATATATATATATATATATATATATATAGTAAAGAATCAAGTATAGGATTTATAATTGATAAATCAAAATTATTTTAAGTTGCATATTGAGTGACAATTTTTGTGCATTTAAATGGTTACTTCAACAATTGAAATAGAAGCAAACATAAAAATACAAAAGTAAATAAATTGGTATAGAGTGTATTAGGCTACTAAATGTGTAGAATATTTTTGGTATTTCTTGTGAATCCAAAATAGTATTAAAAATAAAATAAGATGATAATAATTAGAAATTTTTATTCCACCTTAAATCAAGTAACTTGTAGTTGTATAGTATAATTGGTAGAATTAATCAAATAAGTGAGCATTAATTAATTAATTAATAAGTATATTAAAAAATAAACATTATTAAAAATATATAAATTTGATATTCTTAATTATATTTGGCAAGAAATTTTTTATGCAAGTTAAAAGATATTATAATATTGATTTAATCTACTTGAGTGGAATTTCATTGAATTAAATATACCTAAGTATTGATGTAAAGAATTAAAGTAATTCTTTAATCACATCATCAATAACAATTTACTAACAGGATATTTTAATCAAATAGTACTTGTTATCAAAGACCACTTTTGGAATGAATGTTTTTTTCCTTGTATACTTTCAAATGAAGAAATTTTATTTGTGCATGTAATTTACATACTAATGCTAAATTAATCAATTCTTAAAATAAAATTTTAACATACATTCATGAAACTAATTTATATCCATTTTTACCAAACATTCTAAATCATATCATCCTTTTTATGATATTGGATCTTATTACTATGTTTCATTCCTAAATCATCCACAAATATTCCTTTGTGTAAGACTGTATTTAATACTAAAACAACATATTTGAGCATAAAAATTTGTTTCCACATATATTAATAAAGTAGAAATCATTTAACTAGTAGTAGTAGTAGTAGTGTATATATATATATATATATATATATATGTATGCAAAATCATAAATTAAGAAAAAAATCTGTATACACAGCGTAACAATTCAGAGTTGTTCCATAAATCATAATTGTGTACAGCAATAGCACATCCACACGTTAACTCCAACCCTGAAGCAATAAACAAACTGAATCATGGCCTCAATGAGTCCACAGAAAGCAAAATGAATGTTCAATATCCACAGATGACTCTTGTCCTATTTGCAGCCTCATATAACGTGCTAACGGTGGGAATGCCTTGCCCTCTACAAGCCACGCGAGGTCTCAAACATCGAAGGAGTGTTTGTTCCAGAACCCTAAACCTGGATGCTAGGAAGATCGCATTGTCTCTCGCTCGGCTACCGATTTTGCTCAGTTTGCAAGGATTTTGCCGGATTCCGTGGCTTCACTTAGGCTTACAGACGGAGATTTGCGTCTTCGTTTCATTGCAGTGGTTGATGTTTTTGTGAGGAGGTTTTTCGGGGGCGAGAAGTCGTAGCTATGTTGAAGTATCTGTCCAAAGTTAGAGTAGAATTCAACGCGCTCGACAAGAGGGCGTCGTCGGCGCTTGAATTTCTAGCGCAATGTAACTCTCGGAAAGCACGGAGCTCGAACCCTAATTGCGAGGTGGTAGTGAAGCGGAGGACAGATAATGCACCTCCTGTCGTGGCTGTGACGTTCACCAATGGCAGAGAGGAGGTGATGGATGGGACCTCCATGGCTGCAAATCAGATTAGGACGAAGATTTTGGAGCAGGCGGAGCTTATGGAGACTGAGAAGATGTTTCGCGATGCTGGATACGATTGGCCGGTCATCATCCCCATGGAAGAAGTTGAGGCCTCTCGAAGGGAAATGGCGATGAAGGCAGAGAAGAAGGCGGAGAAGAAGATCGTGTCGAAGACGGGGACAGAGACGAAGTTGAGCTAACTCAGGCTTCTTTTCTATAAAACTTGTCTGTCTTTTCGAGCGACTCAATTTTTTTGACCGGGCTAGGAATCTGCGCGAGATAAGGTGATATCAGATCATGAGGTATGCGTTCTCTTCCAAGACGAGCCAACCTCATGCTATTAAAGAAAATTCTGCTAGGAGAAGAAGATTGTGTGTTGGAACATAGGATTTGAGCAACATCCTTAATAGAATTTGCAGTGGTTCTGGACGAAACTTTAGATATGTGGTAGTATTTATGATTATTGGCATATATGCCAAGATGGGCATTTGATTGAAGAACCAGAAGTTTCAATCATCACTCCAATTCGTTCATCTTCCACTTGTGGTGCACGTTGAATTGCCTTGTTGGGTTCTTCTATCGGGCTATCGTTACGCACAGTAGCATTATTTTCCAATGGTGCTGGGTCTTTGTGTTGCGACGAAATTCAAGAAAACTGCGTAGCTGTTGTCATTGTTCAGTCCTTTGTGTTTATTGCTTTCGGAATTGTTCAATCAGAGTGGGGATTATTGAGTTTTGTGAATATTTTCTTGAAACATTGAGGGGTGCGGTTATTTTGAATGGCTAGCACACTTAGCTTTAATTTTATGAGAAGGGCAGGGTTTGTATTGGTGGTTTTGGGTTCTTCAGACCTTGATTGTTTTCAATTTTCAAAGCGTACGAAGCAGAGAGCACTGTAATATTGTACATACGGAGATCCATATAACGGTCATGAGGAATGTTTACGAAAGGCAAGGATGCTTAGAGCACACAGATGCCGGAGACGAAACTAGCTTACAGGTACTTGCTTGTATAGGTATGAAAACCCACTTCGCTTAACAGTGTTGCACAGACGAAAATAGATTTGTGTGTGATTCTGGATCAACGATTAAAAAGCAAGGGTTTCGTGTACCGGAACTGGATGGCTTGAGAATTAGCACACGTACATATTCATTTTTTCTGCTTTCACCGGTTGAGCTATAGTGCTTAGAAATAAGCAAAGTTCGAGTTTTTGTGCATTCTGGGCAGAATTTCAATGGGTTGAAGTGAATCTCCTCAAGTGTCTACGCTCTTCTGAACCAAGATGCCTTTCTATTTGTCGCGTAATTGCAAGCAGCAAGATATGAAACAAGTAAGAGGAGCTCATGGCAATGTGTATCCAGAGTTACCCTTGCAACCTGCTGAAGACCTAGTATTCTCATGAGGGAGTAAATTCTTTGGCTGAAAGGTCGCATCAATAATTTAGGCATCTCAAGAGCACCACTCAAGACAAGACTTTAATTTGTTGTCTGGACACTACCGAGAAGCAATGAAGTCTAACTTATCTTTGATAGTTGATGGAACATTCCAATGGCATGAACTTCAAGAATCTAACAACACATCGGGTCATTCAGTTCACACACCTGAAAAAATTAGTTTTATTTTACCTGTATTCAAATTCATGGTGCATTCTATTGCTGAAGTCTGTTATCTTGAGCCAATAGAATTCTTACAATCTTTAAGCAAGGCTTCGTTCCTTAATATCTATTAATTATTCATTTTAAATATATTTTTATTCTATATTCACTTGTACGTGTGAGAAATGTAGATTCTATCCCAACTTGTAATCAAAGGTATTATCTAATTTCATTACAACTTGCAAATTTTAGCTTGTTTGAAGTTTTTGCTAATAATTTTTTTTTATCAATCTTGCTGAAGAATACATACCAATTATTATTAAATCTATCAACTAGCATATTATGTTTTATTATATTCTTAGCAAAATTAGGTAGAAACTAATATTAAGCATATATATATATATATATATATATATAAATGTACAGACTTTTTGAATAATGTGGTTTTTAATAAATACATTTTTAATTAATAATTTTTATAAGAAAATCAGGTATTATACATTTGATATTAATATGATTTTTGTTTGATACAAAAACTGATTTGTTGTTTTTTTTGGCACATATATATATATATATATATATATATATATATTTTTGACACAAAATAGGATACATCCAATGCATTAATATTGTGAGAAAAATACATTAAATTGCTTAATTGCTTACACCCATGAGGTGGAGCTAAGAATATTTAGACAAAGTAATAACTATCATAGTTAATTTGCTTACACACTCATGTAAAATTACACCATCTAGAAATATTATAATATTCTAATTAATTATCTTATCCAATTTAGAATCTATTATGTGTTTTGCTATCCATGAGTTCTACTATTTTTTGAGAAGGATAGACTCATGTTCTAAAAATTTAACCAAATTCTTTATAGCAAATTCCAACTAATTTATCCATATTCAATAAGTCCTTTATATACCAGGGTTCTAATATGGACTTTACTTTGTACTTCATTTTCAAAAAAAATTATTTTTCTAAATCCAAATGGTCCAAAAAAAGAAGGTCTTCTTAACAAAGTCCAAACCTTGCAAAAACTTTTATATCTAAAAAGAATATTTTTTGCAAATATGGCTTATTTTTTAGTGAAGGATTTCTATAGATTCCATTTCTAAGGGTTTGATATTAATTTATTTACAAGTGAAGTAGGCAAGTTCTAGGTATTGTAAGCTTACTAATATTTCTAGAATATATGCAAGTTAGATTTCAGCTTTTGGAGATCATACAAAGTAGAATGAACATTAATGTGAAGACAAATTTATCTTCTCTTAGTATTGACAACAACACCTTTGTACCAAATAGGCCAAATGAACATGGCATCTTTACGAGAATGAGGGTTGGTCTACATGTTGTTCCAGTTAAATAAGTAATTTTGATCTAAAAGTAAATTTTATTTGCATGCCACTAAGTTGTAGAGAGAACATTTCTTTAATGAAGCTTCCTACCAAGTTTGGCAAAATATACATTTATTTCTTCACCAATAATCTAAGAATAAGAAAGAGAGTTGAAAGTCAATTTGCTAATTAGAACCCAAAAAAAAAAAAAAAAAAAAAAAAAAATCAATACTAAATGCTCATTTCTGTATTAGCATGGTTTTTGAAACAACTCTAATAATTTTTGAAAGTCTAGCTACTTGATACTCATTGTCTACTGGATTTTGGTTATCTTGTTATATATATATATAAAAAAAAATCATCAATATAAAGAGTTTTAGATTTTATTTTATTTTTTATTTATTTTTAATATCAATAGGTCAAGATAATATAATAGAAAGACATTTAATTTGTGGAGATTGCTTTGTCTAATGTAAGACAAATTAATAGTGTTTAATAAAGGCTTTTTACACATAAAAGATTGTTTGAATGGAATATAGCAATTTAATGAGAAGACAATGAGTTTCAATTATTAGAAATTAAAAATTCCAATACAAGAAACAATTGCAAACATTGTGAAAAGATATTGAATAGTTAAGTAAAAAGAACTTGCACATTTGTAACTAGATTTTTAAAATTTTCATTTCAAATTTTGGATTGAATATTCTACTTGTGATTTAAGGTAATTGAATAAACAAAGTCCATAGCCAATAATCTATAAGCACTTGATTTAATATTCATTATTCTATATTCAAGGAATCATTGAATAATTGCTTGACCAGTTGAAAGAGCATTTATAATCCATTTGGATAAAAGTGCTTTAGTAGCTTCTTTAGGATTAATGGTACAAAAACCACCATCTTTACAATCTTTACAATACATTGATGATGCCATTATAGATTGTATTAAGGAGGTGGTATTATTCCATAAGAAGTTTTTGACCATAGATTTAATTTTATAAATAGCTTTTAAAGATCCAACCAAAGTAGCTAAAAAATAGATTAACAATACAAATAAAATGTTATTCATTATAATAGCTCTATTTTCTATATTTATTTTTGGAAAGTACCAATAGTCAAATTCAAAAGTCATTCTAATAGGATATGTAAATTTTGTAAAGTAAATGTATTTAAATTACTTAATATATATATATATATATAATACAAAGAATGATGTATTTTATATCAAAATTTTAATAATAAAGAGATAGATATAAATATTATAAATTTCTTTCATTGGTTAAAATATCACTTTTATTTAATTAGTTATATTATTAGCTAGAATTTAAATAAGGTATCTCTAAAATAAGAAATTAATTGAAACTTATATATTTTTTTGTAATAAAAATATTTATCCTAGTTCATATGTGTATTTATAAAAAATTACAAAAAAGTATCTAATTGAGTAATTTAAGATTTTTTTAAAATTTTTATAAATTTTTAATTTTGAATATATTAATTATCTTTATATTAGATAAAAAATTATATTATTCAATAAAATAAAATAAAAATTTATAAAATTATTTTAAAAATTAATATATTTAATATTTTTTATATAGTAATATTATATTTATTTTATAAAATCTTTCTTTCATAATCTATATATATTTAATATAAAAAATTTGGATAGAAATAGTATACTAAGTTAATAAATCAAATACAAAAAGAAATAGTCTTTTGCATTGTAAGGTTTTTTTTGAAGTCATCTAATATTTATTTAGAAATATATTCTATTAAAGTTTTTAAAAATAATTATGCAAAGAAAAATATAAGTAGAGTTTTATATTCAAAGGTTTTGAATGTAAAAAAAATAAAGATTATATAATCATATAATCAATAATATGATTTATTAAGTTGTTTGAAATGAAAGGAAAAATCATGGACACTACACTTGGCAAAAGTGAGAATAGATTTGTAATTATTGCTGATTTTTAAGAACTTGTTAATACTCTTAGGGTGGAAATTTTGTGCATCATAAGTGCTAACCATGGAAATACTAATCCTACACCTATAGAAGAAGTAAAAAATCTATGTCAAGAAATTGTGTAATTGAAGGAAGTATGTAAATCAACCTCACAATTGACTATAAGAAGTTTTGCCTCTACAAGTATCCCAAGAATAAGGTTTAGTATGCTTGAGAAGTTTGATGGAACAAGATCAAAAAATTAAAAAGTTTTGCAACAAGTCAAGTTCTATATAAGGTTGCATCCTTTCCAATACACTAATGGATCTATTCAAGTTAGGTTCATAGATGCACTTCTATTTGTAAGTACTCTCTCTTGGTTTGTACCTTAAATAGATAAGATTTATGATTCCTTAATGATTTGAATTCATTCCTAGAAGTGTTTATAGCCACATTTGAAAGAATTGATTGAAAAAGAATAGCATAGACTAAGCTCTTATCTTTATGACAAAGATCACAATCAACCATCATATATGTTATTAAATTCCAAAACCTCACTTAAGACGTGGATTGGATTGACAAAGCTTTCATCAATAAATTTATATATAGATTAAAGGGTAATATCAAAGATTTATTATTGACAATATTGAAAGCAAAATCTTTGGAACAATTTATTTCTCAAGCCACTATATACAACAATTAATTATTTTGAAGATATCAAGAATAAATACTTGGCTAAAAAAAAAACAAGCTAAGTCATCACAACAGCCCTCAAGTTTTTAAGAACTTATTTTTTAAG